GATTTACGGCCTATTGAACAAGACTACCGGAATCTTTTATTGCCGGTTGGAGCAGCTCTGTTTACATGCTTATCAAAGTATTATATCAATGTTTATGAGGCTAGTTTTGCCGGAGAGGTGTCGGGATTATGTTGTTAGAAGTGGAAGGCGATTTTACACAGGAGAAACGGTGGACGGTTTTGGTGTTCCAAGCAACTTTAGAGTGTACATATTTGCTTTAGGAGACTGTTTAGAAATGCTTGTTCGACAAGTTGGCCACGACTTTTTACTAAATATCAAATATGCCACCTTTTTCGTATGAAGGATTCAAGATTGTGAGCAAATAGTGTGACAGCTGGCAGAACTGTAACTAATCAAATCCATCATCAAAACCAAACGTAAAGTACGTAGTCAGGTTCGATGAATAGGCATTTATTAGCACTATGTAGAAAAAATCTGGCTTAGATGGCAATCGGTGCAAACCCTCATCACAATGAAGCGTGATACACCTACAATTAAGCGTAATATAAGTTTTATTACACATTCGTAGTTAGTATAATTATGGTAATAATTGTTTCTACGTGAATTGTAAATTTTTGCAGTAATTTATCTTCAATAACAACGTTTGTTTTCATGTGTTAAAATTTTGCTTTTGGCGACACTTCGCATTCATAATGATTTGATTTTTTATAGAAACAGTAACATATGATTTTCATAGCTTCACTTGTTCTTAAATTTTTTAGTGAATGAAAAATTGATTACTCATTTGTTTTGTTACATAACTGAACTGAATATTCGCATATTAATTAAATAACGGAATAAAAACATGCAATTAAAGTTCACAAGAAATTTTCCTAGGGAATTTATCCAAGTCACAATCACTAGGTGCAAAAATGCTCTTTACACAACTGTTCCAAAATTCACACCTACATTAAAAATTTTATTTACACCACTTGTATGGCAATTACAACGTAAAGTACGCCTTTTACGCTTTTTTTGTTTATAACTAGTGATCACTGTATTTCTAACAAAGACTTGTATAAAAGTCCTGAGTGTAGCGGTTTTGGAAAATTTATCGGCAGAAATAATTTTTAGCAATATATTGTAGAAAAAATTCCCAAGAAAGTTAACAAAAATTCTTAATAATTTTTTCGCAAAGAACAAATGTCGCAAACATTAAATGAACCTTTTAAAAACGACAGTTAAGATTGGAAAAATTATGGAACATATTTAAACTAATTTTTTGAGAAAAAATTACCTTTCTATTTCTAAATATTTCATTATTTTATGATTTTTTTTTTATAAAATATACTCGTATAATTTTAATTTCCACATAAACATGGAACAGTATAACAACATATATAATAGGAATCATCATCACAACAATTCACCCTAAATGTACCTAATAAATTTAAAAAATTGTAGCTCTACGGAGAGAGCAATAAAACCACGATCACAGACAACCATGGATTTTTGAAAATTATTTTGGTCTTTGATAGAATTTTCGTCCTGTCAGATTATGGTCATTTCAAAACTTTTTGTTTTATTCGTCATTATTAAAATTTTATAACCTAACTTTCTTGGGTAGGTACTTAAAAGAGTCATAAATTTGTGAATCAGGTTGAGCAATACTACCACAAAAAAATTTCAAAATAGGTTAATTATATTGCCAACTAAAACAATACTTGTTGATATATACATTCTGTATTTAGTCGATTTATTTTCACTACCTACGAATTTATCCGCTGAAGATCTGAAATCATTTTTTATTCTCACAGTGTACCTAACAGTATTAATTCTGAATTCATTCCTGCCTCATTTTCTTAGTCATAGGAAAAAAAAGTCGTATTCCGTAATTTTTTTTGTTCTAGCTAAAATTATCACATTTTTTTGAGATTATTTCAAAATTAACTTTTTAATATTTTGAGCAAATTTTAAAATATACGTATTTCTAAATAGAGTTGCTTAATGCAGTAAATATAAGTACCATGTAATCGAAAAAACCTTGCAAAATATGCTTTTGATTTTTTTTAATTCTATTGGCAGCACTGACGGTTTCTGTGATTTTGCTATAGTGTCACGTTCATATTTTGTGGTTATGTAAATCGCTGTCAACGATAACTCACCCTGTATAAAACATAATGTCAAATTGACAGATCTAACTATTGTCAGTCAAAAATAATGATACTGTTGACATTTTTTTTTTTATAAATTCCAAAGCATACTTGACAAGTTTTTTTTTCGATCGTATGATGCCAGTATGTCATAAAACAATATTTTTATTTGATTTACCAGTTTTAACATGTATATACGGTGTGTTCGAAAAAAAATCCAGGCCCGCAGCTGTTTTATTTTTTCGACTGCAGCATTATACACAGCGTGACACTTCAAATTAAGTCGTTAAAATTAATATTTAACATTCACTTGTTTTTTTACGACATTATTTTTTCTTTTTTAATTCATTCATGTATCATGACGTCGAATTTTGTTACTAAATTGTGGAAAAAATGGTTTAAATTATTGTGTCAAAACGGCTGTAATGTGTTATATGTATTAATTTAACTATTTACGTTAGTAAGTTTGACAATATTTGTTGCTTTTGTTACTGTGCAGAAATATCTAAGTTTGAACATGAACTTTTTATAATTCAGTACAAAATCTTGTTGCAAATACCGGGTGTTACTAAATGATTCATTCATGTATTAATGCACAGCTTCAATCGACTTTTTGTTTAATTAATTAATCTGTCAATTAGTTGTCAAATTTTAAATCAGATCTTAACGTTTATTTCTTTAAATCACAAAAAATACGAAAACATGTGTCGCCCAAAAACTGTAGATATTTTTCGAAAACCGCAATTTTTTTTGCGTGTGATCACGGCTCTCTAGAGTCCTAGATGCAAATCATTCATTAATACCTGTATATTAAATTATCAATGTTCGAAAATATGAAAACATGAAAATCAATGAATTCAGAAAAAGTATATATAAAAATCTCCTACAAAATATATAGGGTGTCACAGACAAAAACAAATGAATATTAAAAATTAATTTCTTAAATCATGTCGTAGTACCTATATTTGAAACGATTTAGTGTGACGTGTAGGTAGGTACACAATGCTGTGCTAGAAAAAATCAGGCAGCTACGGCTTTTTTTTTGAACATACGGTATAGAGCGTGATTCAAAAATACTTATTTTGGATTGGGTATATAAAAGTGAATAATTTTTGGAAGTATCATATTTTTATTCATGGTTTTCTTCATTTTATAGTATTACAAAAAACTTAAAAAAGTTCAGAATTATTTTGACAACAGTGGCTAATTTTTGGCCTTAAACTATCGATATAAATCTATATTTTATTTTTGTAAGTGAACGCCAAGTTGACACGCGGAATTTTTAATGACTTTTCTCAAACGTAGATTTTGATCTTAATATCGAACGGTTTATTTGTGCGCCACCCTGTATAGAGTGACAAAGGTTCCAGTTTTTTATTTCGAATTTTATATAATTTAACTTTCGGTTTTGATTTGCTTAATTCATTTTTAAGTACATTTAAAATTTTATTAGATTTTAAATACAAAAAATTCAACTGCTACTTATTTTAATAAGAATAAATAGAATAGCTGAAGAAAAATTCCTAGTGTGATAGAAAATGTAGTTATTTTTAAAAACAATAATTTTTATAGCAATTTCAGTGGCAGAACTAAAAATCTACGGTATTCAAAATTACGTTTCTCATAGAGGCAGTAGATTCGAACATTTTTGAAAAACTTTTTTGGATTGATTTTATTTTTAAATTAATTTACTCCCAGTTTTTATAGAAACTCTGATTTGATCATTTTTAACCAGGATTCAAATGTTAGTACAGAAATCATGTAAAGAAATAACCCGGAAACACATCGGTTTTCACTCCACAAAAAAATTATAGATGTCTTAAAATTGTTATTAGTGAATTTTAAAATTAAAACAAATATTTACAACGATGTGAGACTCATCAGGGATCATTCAAAATTGTCCCTTATTTTTTTAATCCTTTTTATTATTAACTATGTACTTGATTTGCAGTAATAACATTTCCACACTTCCAGAGTTCGATTAAACTGGAAACATTATCTGGTTCTGGACGCCATAAAGACAAACAGAACATAGATACTTGAGTACTAAAAAATACATCAAAGTCGGAATTTCAGATAATTAATTGAATAAAAATATTTCATGCGTTATTTTGTTCGGGAAAATTTTGTTTGAACATATTTTGTCGATGGATAGGTTAACTTTATTAAAGAGAAGTTTCTGTACTCTAAACGGATTTTCTGAAATGGGTAGATTCTGTAACTATCACAAAATATCTACCAAACAATAGTGGTAATTAAAAAATATATACATATTTTAATAATGGAGATTTGAATCTTGTGACGGTTTTTCGAGTATAGTGTGTAAAATAATATATTGAAAATTATTTTGAATAATGAAAATTCGATGGATGAAATTTCGAAAAGAAAAATTGAGCTTTGAAGATCTGTATCCTCTACATTTGGACGAAAATATAGGTATGGGAGTAATTTTTGCACATTTTTTAAGGAAGAAAATCTTGTAATCACCAGTTTGGACATGCCATTTCCGTATTATTTTTTTATTTGTATTAGAGACACTGAATAATGTCAAAATATTTTTCAAAAAACCGTTTTTCCTAGCACATTTCATCAGAACAAAATTCTGGTACCTCCGTTCAACTTGTGTCAAAAATCGTGCCCGAGACCTCAAACACTCTAAAAAACCGCCTAGCTCCCGGTGTTAGACAGCTCTCGCTCGCAAGCAGCAATTATCTCCGAGCTAAACCTCACGTTCGGCCCAATCCCACGATCCGTCCCTGGCAAAAAATGTAAATACTTTCAAGTAGCCACACATCCAATGATTAATCTGTTTCATCTTAGCAGCAAATGATTTACGATCGAATGAGCGTATTAATTATCGCAACCGCCTCTCTGACTTATTTGTCAAAAGCCATAAATAAAACCAACCTGTTCTTAGCAGCCGCCGCCCGGTCCCTCTGCCTCCGGTTCTTGAACCAATTGCCCACTTGCGTCGGCGTCAGCCCCGTCGCCTGCGCCAGCTCCCGCTTCTTCGTGGGGTTGGGATACGGATCCTGCAGATACCACTCCCTCAGCAGACTCCTGGTGCGCTCCTTGAAGCAGTGCGTCTTCTGCTCCCCGTCCCAGATGGTCCTCGGCCAAGGGAACTTCTTCCGCACTCTGTACTTGTCCACCGGCCCCAGCGCCCGCCCCCGGAGCTTCTCCGCCTCCTGGTAGTGCGCCAGCTGCCACATCTCCTGGAGCTTATGGTGCGAGCCTTTGCTGAACTTGTTGCCTTCAAGAATCGCGTACAACTCCCGGAAGTTGCCGCTGTGGAAGCACACGATCGCTCGGGCCCGCAGCACGGCCTCGTTCTTGTTCAGCTCCTGGATGTTGGGATGGGCGACCGGGAGCGACCACAGGAACCTCGCCAGCCGCTCGATGTCGCCGCTCTCCTCCAACGTCTCACACACCGCCGCCACCTGGGACACCGTGAAGTTGAGCGTCGGCAACGCGAACATGGGGTTGGGGATGATGGGCCCCGGAGCCACGGGGGTGACCGGGATCGGCACGCTGATTCCGGGCGAGGACGACGCGTCCGACTGGTTCCCGGAACCGGGCCCGGAGCACAGCCCGGAGCCGAGGCCTAGCGCCATGTGGGTTGCCAGTGTTGCAGCGTTTCGAGACTAGAGGAGCATCTTCGACACTCGCGTCGCGTTGCCGAGAGCGGACTGAGGGCGACCATTGGCAAGAGCGGGGCCGTTACCTCGGTTACTTGGTTACTGGCGGGCCAATGGAATGGTGGGTGGGGGGGATGGCGCGAGGGGGGCGTGGTTTGTGTCAGTCAAACGCGGAGTTTACGGCGGATTGTGGCACACGGCTAACTGGAGGTGATGGGTAAAGTGGTCGGCTCGCCGGTGGAGATGTCAGCGGAATCACGGGAAGATACGCCTTTTTGCGCTGGAGCTGATTTATAGGGGTATCGGGACGGATCGGGTTTCGGGTTTAGGTGAAGGATTGATAAACACGGGGAAATTATGGGAGGTGGAGGAGGTGTTGACACGGGGGGTTTGGGATTTGTGGGCATGGTTTTAGTGGCGACGTATGGCTTAGATTGGGTTGAGGTTTGGAGTCGATTCGGTTTTTACTGAACACACTAAATGTGTTTTTTTTTCGAATTTCGTTAAATATATAGGTAACCCGATGCACGAAAAATGCAGTGAACAATTTTATGTTTTTGTATCATTATTTCTACGCAAAACTATATATATTCAGTATATACGAAGTATTTTATTTCATTTATCAATATATGTTCTATAACACTTATAACATTTATTATTTTTCAGTAATATGGACAAAAATTGAAAAAAAACGGTATCCTGATATCTACAGTAAAAACTAAATTCAAAGGCCTTTTTTAAATACTAAAATTATTACTAGGTATTATTAAAACAACTTAGTTTAAAAATGTTTACACTTGTGAAACGATTTTTAAGTTACATACTTTGAATTATGTAACAGTAGGTATATTTATTGATTAATTAATATACAAAAAAAAAACAGAGCCATTTTTAAGTTTTTAAGTGTATTTTCAGCAATGTTTAATGATTTTTGTCAATTTGGTCTTAATAATTCCCGATTATGACTCAAAGCCAACTTGAGGATGATTTTTATTGATCGCACCTTGTAAAATTCCGTTAAGCGTGTCAAAACAGAGTTAGAAAAACTTTTACTTAATAGGTAATTGGCCGGGAATAAGGTTTTTACTGATTTTTCTAGATATTCTTGAACCGTAATTAATACATATGACTATTGGAAAATTTTTATGCAAATATGTCATTATGTATAACAATTAATAGTACACTTAAGTTCAAACACCTGGAAATCCCCAGACTGATTATAGCTGAGTACAACTTCATTGTGGGTAGTTTACAACGAGCGCAATGAAACATATAACATTAATGAACAGCTATGAATAAGCTGGTCATTCAGAACTTGTAAACAGAAATTGTAAATGACAGCACTTTAAGATATTCACGATTTTATCTAAGGAATCAAAATGAATTTATTTATTGGAATTTTCATAATTTAATATATACAAACATACAAAAATTTGTAACGATAAAAAAATATCTAATAAATATCTAATTAACTAAAATCATTATCAGGAAGTTAGTTTTGCACTCAGGTTATGTTCAAAGCCACAAAAAAATTGTTTCAGAATTAGAAAAAACTAAGTCGTTTAAAAAGAATAATTTTAAATGTTTATTTATCAAGTTGCACATATTTTCGAATAAAAGAAATACCAAATACGTCCCCTAATATACAGGATGTTTAGGTACTAAACATGCGGCAAAAATTCAGGAGGTTATTCCTCGGATGATTTTCGCAAAGATGCTTGAATTTTTGCCACATGTTTAGTGAACACCCTGTATATCTATTACTTATTACTTCTATATTTTTTGGGCACGTTACACAAAGTAAATTTTAGGCGATGATCGAATATTTAAATTACAACACTTAAATTAGACAAAATTAAGATACTTTTTAACTAGAATATTCATTACCCACAATTTTTTTGAAGTCCGACTAAGATATCAATTTTTTTCTCGTTAAGTGTTTGGTTTTATTGAGTATAAAATTTCAAGAATCACTGGATTTATTGATTAGATCTTTATTAAAATGACAACAAATATGAATAAATATCAAACAGAATTGTAGCTATTACACCTATTGGTCTCTAACAACAGTTTTAATTTTTTTATTAATATTCCTTCTTTGTTCATAAATTTTGTGATCATCATGAAAATTTTCAAACAGCGAAATTTTCTCAAATTTTTACAGTATCTAGGTATTACGTACAGAACAATAAAAATCAACTATTTAATTGTCGACGTGAAAATTGTGTTCAAACCAGAGTATAAAAATTATGTTATAACATATTATACAATGTTTTTTTTTTCGACATCGTGATTCTTTATTATTTCTCTTTGAAATTTTCTAAATCTAATGCAGAATGTTGTATCGCCAATCTTTCTTATTAAATAATAACATAAACTAAAAAATCTAAAAAACTTGAAATCCCACCTTTAGGCACTAAGAGAGACAAAAAAACAACAAAATCAAAAGCAGCCATGGATTTTTGAAGGTTTGTCGCTGATAGAAGTTTCGTCTTGTCGTTAATTTCAAACTAAGTATCTATATGAGTTGAAAATGTAACAATCAAAGACAAACTTTTAGAAATCCAGGCTGTCTTTGATCGCGTTTTTGATTGGTCAGGCGGTTTAATGTGTCTAGGTATTTTTATTATTAAAATTGAAAGTTTGACAAACAACGGGAGTGGAGTAATACTAGCTTATGCATCTGTTACAGACATATTTTTTTCAACGCCATAACATGGAAAGAAAAAGGTCGGTATTATTACTAAATTCTTGACTAAGTACCACATTTTGCGGAAATTTATTTTGTGAAGATGCGCCAAAAAACTGAAAAATGTAAGACCATATTTTTATTTATTATACTAGGTGAGTCACTAAATATTTTTACATATTTTTACATTATTCAAATATTCTTCAATATTTTTGGCATTGGAAGGGTTCACAAAAAAATCGCAATAGGGTCATTTTTAAAATCTGTCTCACAATGTTTTGTGGACGGATACATAAAGGTTTGTTGTGGTATCAACGAAATCAAATTTTAATATACAGAGTATTTATAAAAAAAAAACTAAAACTTTGCAATTTTCAAATATTGATACTCTCATTTTTCAAATCGAACGTTTCACCTTTATTATTATATTATATTACTCTAGTTTTTGTCCTCATTCTTCTAAAAGTTCGATGTGTCTCTTAAAAAAGCAAAAAAATCGCACTTTAAATATAGAAAATACTCAACAAAAAAGAAAGAGAACAAAAAATATAATAAGATGCACTAACAAAATATTCTATTTGAAAAAAATTGAAATAGCGATATTTGAAAATTGAAAAAGTCTTCAGTGCCGCAGTGTTTTTTTTTTTTTGTTTTAATTCGGAATACTCTAGAGGGTATATCATTGCCAAAATCAGTATTATTTTAGTAAATACTAGCCCCGCCCACCCACCCTCTCTTTTCTTACAGGGTATGTCATTTGCCAAAATCGGTTTCATTCTAGCAGGTACTAGTCCCGCCCACCCACCCTTTCTTTTGTTAAAGGGTATGTCATTTGCCAAAATCAGTTTTATCTTAGCAAGTACTAGACCTGCCCACCCACCCTCTCTTTTCTTAGAGGGTATATCATTTGCCAAAATCAGTATTATCTTAGCAAATACTAGCCCCACCCACCCACCCTTCTCTTTTCTTACAGGGTATGTCATTTGCCAAAATTGGTTTCATTCTAACAGGTGCTAGCCCCGCCCACCCACCCTCTCTTTTGTTAAAGGGTATGTCATCTGCCAAAATCAGTCTGATTTCAGCAGATACTAGCCACCATCTCTTTTCTTAGAGGGTATATTATTTGCCAAAATCAGTTTTATCTTATCAGGTACTAGCCCCGCCCACCCTCCCTCTCTTTTCTTAGAAGGTCATAAAATTAGAATAACGTGGCAACATCGCATCATATTTTCAAAAATAAACTGTGGTTGTAAAGCCTTAGAAGAGGTCATTCAAAATATGTAAATATATATAGGATCTTTTGTTTAAAAAAACTATGTTATTTGTTACGCCTTGAAAATATATTAAGAGTAGGTATAGTCCTCAAAGAACCGTAGAACTTTGTTTGATTTTTTTTTCAATTTCTAATAATTAAAGACATATAGAGGAACGCGCATTTAGTGATTCACTCTGTAGATCAGTGTTTCGGATATTCGTACTACTAGTATAGACGAAAAAAATTGGAAATCTACAGAATAAAATATTTTAATAAAAAATGATATTATTTTATGGTGAAAATCATATTAAATATAAATAAATAATAATTTTTGCGAGACGTAATTTCCAAAATTAATTGCATTTGAAGGAAATTAGCGAAAAAAATTAATTCGACCGAAAAGTAGGTCGTAACTTAACACAATTTTTAATGTCAAAAAATTATTAAATTTTAATTAATGAATTTCATGAACGTAATTCACTTTGCTTAAAAATGTACTGCATTGTATTAAGCTAGGTTATGTTATGTCAACAAGAATTAAACCCCCATCCACTGATTGTTTAAAAATCGCGAACAAGAAATAATCTAAAGGTCTCAAATCAGGTGACGTAATTAAAGGGGATGTCATAAAATTTCCTTAAAAAATTCAAATTTGTATGAGCTGTTGCACCGTCATGCTGAAAATACCCGTTCTGCAATTCTTCAGGATCTAGTCATTCTAAAAAACACGATTTTTTATCTTCAAAGTCATTTTCTAGTTAATTTTTTCCTTTTAATAAATGTAGAACATTGAGAAGTTGTCGTATAGTCGTTTAAATTATCGAAGAAGCTATAATAAGGAGTTACCGGAAGAGTACGAAGAAAAAAAAAGACAGAAGTATGTGGGACAAAGTACATTTATAGAGCAAAACGCCCATTTGTATGCCCTCCCAGCCCCTTATTTTTTCAAGCGGGCTTAAAAGTCCCATAATTACATTTTGTTGTTTGTGTCTACCTCGAGACCTGTAATCTCCCCTAATAGTCTTAACTGGAAATATTAAAACAAATAAAAGCTCTGACATGATCGAGACGAAGAGGTGATCGGAGTTGTTTAGA